TGTGTGTGTGTGTGTGTTGTGTGTCAAATTGTGTGGACTTATTTATATCACAGGCAATGCTCCACTTTAATCCTGTAGCACATGTGCAGCATGACTCAGCAAGAATTAAGAACTCACTGATAAATTAGCTTATCTACTCTCATGTAATCAGTTATGCTAAAGATATTTTACAAAAACAGCAAGAGTCTTTTAAATAACATAATGCTCCAAAAGGATCATATAAGGTTTCGCCATCAGAAAATATTTTATAGTAAGAAATTAATAAAGTGAATAAAAAACCATAACTTTTCCATTCAGTTGTTGTGGTAACACATTACTCTGTATTGTCCTTGTTTGCATTGTGCATTTTTGTTTACATCACAGATAATGCCATCACTAGTTTGCCATACAAAGAGCATCAATGCTGTGGTGTAGTGTTTCACATATCAATGAGTTATTAACCAATAAACTAGCTGGTGAATCTGGTGCACTTTTAGCCTGAATCACTGTTAAATAAATGGCTAGCACGCAGAGCAATGAGACTAATTATAATTGACTGCTTTCTGACATTAGCTGCAACCGCGGGCATGTAAGCTTTTGGAAATCAATGTTTCACTAGACAGAGACATAAAGCAGCATTGTCTGTCAAAAAAGCATGTTTCAAAGGGATGAGTCTGTTGATTAAACATTCTTTGTATCAATTTAATTATCAGTCTAAAGAATTTTACATTTGCAAGTCTTAAAAGTGAACTTGAGATTTTTTTAATTTGTCGAGTCATCCTTTACTTTTCTGTGCTGGCTTGAAGCCCCAGTGAGTTATATTGATCTACAGAACGAAAAAAAAAAGTGCATTCATAAAACAAAGAAAGAAAATAAAACATGAAAAGATAAAATAGAATATAGTCTAAACAAAAGTGGTCAACGATTGTTGTTTTATATCTTTTGAATTAGAGAACCAGAGCAACCAGAGCACTACCAAGGATAAAATTAGTGATTGCAGTTTCGTAAATGTCAGTGTATAGAGTAAAGATTTTTTTTAAAGAAATGGCCCCAATGACTGTATTCTAAGTGCAGTATCTTGGAGGCTTATCAAACCGGAGACCAAGGGAGGAGGTTAAAAATGTTTTTTGATATGCCTGTAATTTTTTACGATGGGGGTAACTGCTTTTGACAAAAATAAGATTTAGAAACAAATGAATTCTTGCTTTATACACGTTATCGTTTTTCTTTTTTATTTAATCACCATTTTTACCCTGATGTTCAAAGGTATCAGACTTCACAGTTTTTCAGTGGATTCAATTCAGCTCAGTTATTCATTTTATTGACAAAAGAGCCTATTAACAACAGATGTCACCTCAAAGCACTTTACAAGATAGCAAGATAGATACAACAGAGCATTTAAATAGAAAGGAACAATGGTTGAACTTTACAAAAACCATGATTTGTAAAGATAAAGAGAACATTCACTAATGATTAACAAATAGTATGTTAAGTTTAACAATCATTGATAAACTGCATCTAAACCATTTATAAAAGGTTCTGTAAATAGATCATAATGTATTAGGGCATCTTAACATTTCTTATCAGCTTTAAGGAAGAAAGGAGGAGCCAATTCTGATTTATGTTCTCTTTTATATTTTGTGTTTTACTTTTTAGATTTTCTGTTTAAAAATTAAATTTTATCCATTTTAAATTGAATTTTTCATATTCAGTTCTCTGTTATTCTTCATTGTTGTTTGGCTCTAATATTTAGTCCCTTTGTGTTTAGCTTTATACGTGTTACTTGCATCCTGTGTCTTTTGGTAAGTTTTCTTATTTTTGTATTAAACTTTTCTCTTTTGATACCATCCATTTTGTTAGTACCCTTGTTATTTTTTGTTTATTACGCCTCACTCACACACTTTATATGTCAACCTAACATACCCTTCAACTTTCATAGCATCTTTCAAATGCAGAGACAAATTTTCCTGTTGAAATAGGCACAGTAAACTACTAAAACTGCAGGTTTTTTAATTTAACAACTTAAAATCCAGACCAAGAAGCTTTGTGATTTATATAATAGTCTTGCAATTCTATCCTCAGTATAACTGGTGCTTTGTTCTCTGTTTCATCAATGTAAAGGTTCTTCCTATTAAAAGATTTAAAGGATTAGGTGGCTTTCAAATTATAGTTAAATTTGTTTATTTTTCCTCATCAGATTTCAAGTGCATAACAGTAACAGTGGCGTGATGCAGAGAATGTGGGATGTTAAACTTCAAAAGACACATGTGATGCAAGTTTTAAGCCTCTTTAGTATTTCTGTTCACCATCATGCCAGAAATCTAGGTTAGAGATCAAACCATGTGGAAAAAGCAGGTCATTACAAGCTCTTCAATACTTGAAATGAAATTAAGTCAATAACAAACAGCCACAGTTAGATTTATGCATGTCACGGATAACCCAGTTTTTCCCTGTCAATCCATGTTTCTGTTTTTGTCTTTTTGCCTGCTTTTGGAAAAAAGCAATATAGCTTATTGCTCGTGGTTAACTATTTAAATATTATTTTGTTAACATTATGATCATGATTCCTTCTATTCAGAGCAAAACATGAATGACTGATTCATATGTAACAATACTGCAGGTATTTATTAAGTGTTAATCAAGTCAAATTTCCTTGGTATATTTCACTTTAATGCACAAAAACAGCCAGGAAATGCCAAAGAAGGAAAAATTTAGTGTTTATCCCAGAATCTGTGACATCAAAAAACACATTGCAAAGAGCAGGAGAGGTTTATCTTCAGCCATTCCAGCACTTGCATCTGTAGCCAGCTTAAGACCACCCGGATTCTCTAATAATCATAAAATGGTAAAAGTCAACACAATTATTCATTTTATATTATCATTTTTAAATGCATTAATCCACTGTGCTCCACCTACCATTGGTCAGCGTGCTGGACATCACATTTAGCCAGTAGATGGTGCGCTGCTGAGCCACTGTGGCCCTGAAGAACAAAACAAGTAAAAAGACAGGTTATATGCAAGAAAAAAAAAGGTGAAAACAGAGATATATTTTTAATTAATTATAAAACAATAAAATGGCTTTACATAAAATACACAGGGTGCATAGTGTCATGTGGTATCCAGGTGTAGACCGTGGTGTTGCCCTTCAGGTTGGTGTTGGCATGAGTTATTGCACCTTGTGGGTTTCCTGAGCACTGCCAGTATAAAAAATACAAGTTACAACAAAATTTCTGTCTTATGATATTTTATATACAATTCATTTGAAGGATTTGTGGATACCATCTGAATAAATCTTACAACCAGTTGTGGTTCTGGACAAAATTTACCTAGTGTCAGGGTGGGGATATAGTATTCTTCATAGGTGCACAGCATTCATTATTTAACACATTAGTGGCGCCAAAGGCTGTTTGTTTCTCTAATGCAACAAATAGCCCTTCCTCTGATCTAGCAAATAACAGCAGGTATTCTATTTCAACATGACTGAAGCTAAACTTGCAATAACTTCATTTTAAAATTGTTTTTTAAAGTAAAACAGTAATAGTCAGATCTTTAGTGCAAATTGAGCAATCAAGTGCGGTTTCTGAGCTTGCACATATAGTTATAAAACACTGATTTAATGCATTCTCAGTAACAGAGATTTTTTTTCCTGCCTTCCACTGCCTTTTATTTAGCCTTGATTTAGAAGTCGAAAGCACCTGGAGGAATTTGGTGTCTGGGGGAGGGTGTTTCCAGCTTCCATAAGCGTCATTGAAGCCTTTTCTCCGGGCTTCCAGAAGCACTCCTCTGTATTCGGGTCCTATAATAGTGACTGCAGGGGAGCATAACAAAACAGGAGTTACCCAAACCAAACATGTTTTTTTATATAGTTTTTCTCTGACATATTTTTCAATGATTTTTTTAAATGAGACGCAGATTACTAACAGATGCTGTACTCCCTTCTTATTTGGGACTGTGGTTATCTTACCTGTAACAGGCATTCCAGGCTGATACTTCTTGGTGTTGGTGAGAATTGTGTAGGGAGCTGGAGATGTCTGAGGTGAAACTCCTGCATGCCGAGGCATCATATCCTCACAAGCACCAGTGGGAGCCCCATTGGGGTAGCAGTCCACAAAGAAGAGCACTTGTAAGGTTAACAGACCAAGCAGCAACATTGTGGGGATCTATCTGAGTACAATTCTGTCACAAGAGGAACTTTTATAAACTCAATTTGCTGAGTCATACGGCCTAGACTTTATCTTTGGGCATGACTCAACCATGAAATGCGATTTTTGACTGCTTGATTTCTTGAAAAGAGAAAATGTGACAGAAATGCTTTTTATCACCACACAAAAGCACTCTGTTTTTCTCATACTGAGCATACAAAACCCCAGAGGCTGCTACCACAAACAAAATCGGCAAATGTTTCATCCAAATATGGAAAGTAAAAAAAAAGCCTGTAAACTTTTTTTTTAAATAAAATGAGTTTATGTAGAAAGTGGCACAGACTAATAAATAAATATGTACACACTGGAAAAAACGATCTAGAAATAAGTTAAAGCTACAGTGTGTAATAATTACAGGGATATACAGTCAGAAATGTAATATATTATACATAACTATGTTATTTATCATCATCTACTCATCTACATCATCTGCTCAGCCTCTTAACCTTAATATTTGCAGACATCTTTGCGCTACGGCAGCGCAGAGCCAACAAACTAGCAATGGCGAGATCGCCCATTACGCTCGAAAGTAACTACGGCAAGTTGAGAGAGATGAACTGAGACGGTACTGAAATCTATACCCTACACAGACTAATTAAATACTATCTGTAAAATAATCTATGTAAACAAACCTCATCACTTGAGAAGGTAGGTGATGCGGACGTCGTGACATTTTGTCCTGTAACGCTCGCCGTACTGTTGGGGGGGAGAAGCGGTGGGGGGAAGATGTTCATGTTGCTGCGGTCTGCAGTCTGGACGTTAGATGTCGCTGAAAATTACACACTTAAGCTTTAAAATTTCCTAAATAAGTGTATTTACCCTTAATTTGAGTAGGTAAATGTGATAGTTTGCCAATGGAATGAGTATTTTTACTCTTAAAATAACATAATTAGATAAAATGCACCTGAAATAAGACAATCCAATTGTGTTTTCTTATTTTAAATGTAAATTGTCTTGTTCCATTGGCAAAATGTCTATTTTTCCTCCTCTATCCAAGAAAAAATGCGTTTGTTTTAAGAAAAAAAAAATACTTATCTAGATTTCGATTTTTTCCAGTGCAACAAAGGTTTTATTGCATTAAGACTTATTTATTTATCAAAACTGGAGCCCATCTCCAACAGATGAACAGTGCAAAGAATATAAATTGCTGAAAGATAATTCTGGGGGAAAAAACCTGCTTGATCACATAGAATGTAACCGCTAGAAGAAGCTACTATATCTTGTTTGGTTTCCTAAGCAAAGTCTCTTTAGATGTATAAGTTAGCAAAGTGTCTATAAACCTACTTTCAGGATGTCCACTGTGGGGTATCACATGACATTATGGTTTGAGGCTATGTTGTGCATACACTCACTAATCCATCCACTGAAAGACTCATAAAAATAAGCCCTTTTATAACTTTGCATGAATTTCTTGCTAGGATTAATAGAATAGAATATCCCTTTATTATCCCACAGTGGGTAAATTGTTGATACTGTAATAATTTTTTTCAATTTGAAGAAATATGCAAATGGCTAAATATTCTTTTTTTTATTTATGTTTATTGATGTAAATTTTTAATTGAATTAAAAAATATATACAATCTATCCTTAACATAAATATGGACAAATTTAGAATTCAGTCTGGTTCAGTTTTCTACAGGTACTCTGGCCTTTAACTACAGTCAATATGTATATTGATTCTTTAGCTCAGTATGAATGAGTGAAGACATGCGTCATCCATAGTTTGTGGCTCTGTGTTGTCCTGTGATGGTTAAGGGCAAGGGTCTGCAACATGTGGCTCCGGAGCCGCATTTGTCTCTTGATCCACGCAACCATAGCTCTTTATTATTTTGGTTAAAAACGATGAAGTGCCAGCTAATTTTTATTTTAGCAAAAGCTATATTAAAAAAAATGCATACTAACAAACGCATATCAAAGTTATCCTCTGACTAATTGTATTGGATTTACACAAAAAAATTAATCTAACAGAAATATACTTTTTGATCTTTTATAAAGTGGGAAAATGATTATTTATTTCACAAGATTTTTCAAAAGTATCAGCAATCCACTACAAGTTCACATTTTATCACTGCTGCACTTAAGAAATGGAAATGTCTTAAGAGCTGTACTGGGCAAAATTTTGTTTGTATACACTCTGTGTGTACAAAATTACAATAAAGTTGGTCTAAGTCAGTAAATTTGTTTCTAAATTTTAAAACCTTAATTTAAAATAGTTCTGTGGTTATTTAAAAAGGACACATTTCCTGTCGTAGATAGGGATTAAATGTAAGTTATCTTTTTATTTTTGTAAGAAAAGGGTAATATAACATTTGCTGCTCTAAATTAGTTTTATTAGCTGGACTAAAGGTTGGATTGTAAAGGTTGCAGACCCCTGGTCTAAGGACCACTTTTCATCCACTTCTTATCTTATGAGAGAAGATACCAGCTCTCAGGGACCCTGCATATATAAGCAACTAAGTATGAATGCATGGATGGATGGTTTTCTTCTGTTTAAAAATGAGTATGGATTTTTTCTATAATTTTATAATGGAAAGATTTATTAATTTGTGTATTTTTGCATTCTCATTCTTATGCCAAGAAATTATGTCTTGTTCAATTGGATTACAGAAGCATTGCACGCTAACTAATTCCTTTTCCCTGCACTGTCAAGGTCCTGTGACTATGTGTGTAGAGCGCTCTGTTTTTTCCAAGGTTATTTCACAACCTCGTAAGAAATGCCCTGCTTTTTAAGCTTAATTTTTTGTGTACAAAAAGTACACAAAAAATTAAGTCTTCTAAGTTACACAAAAAGTGTAACTTAGAAGACTAAAGATTACAGATAAAACTCCATAATTATCATGAACACATGAAAATGCCCCAATGTAGTTATGAATGCAGTAAAATAAAAAATAAAAAATATAATATAAAAAATATATTAAAAAAAATAAATATATATATATTTTTTTTTTTGTTTGTTTGTTTTGTTTTGTTTTTTTTATATATTTTTATATATATATATATAAAAATATATATATATATATAAATGTTTTTGAAGAGATAAAGTCTGCAGCTCCTGCAGGTAAGAGGTATTTTACTTAAGGAAAAACCATGTTCGCTTATGGTCAGTTGCTGATTATCTTACTGGATTGATTGACAGATGGGGTAACATCAATAAAGATGATGTTCTAAGGCTAAAAATCTTGGCTTTTTTTCCTTCAAATTTCACATCGGGTTTTATGGGACTTTAGGGTATGATCTTTGTGCGGTGGCAAATTGATATCTGTCATTTTATGAAGTGATGGCTTTTCCATTTCTAAGTCTTTTTTTTTTCAGATTTTGACACTCTGTGTGTGACTGTAATTAATACAGCATTCTTGAACAGTTGCACTCTCAGGAACCTGGAGTTTGCACCCCAGTAACAACCAATCTTTTGGAAGCTCTCTAAATCTCTTCTAGCAATCTTGTCCTTTTTTTAAGATTTCTTAATGATGTCATACATGGAAACAGTTGGTTTGAATTTTTACCTCCAAATACATTCACAGATGTGTGATATCTGGTAAATCAGAACCTTACAAAGGAATCATTATGTTCCATATGTTGAAAGAATGGTCATCTAAGTGTAGCTAACTTGTGACTTGCACATGAATAATATAACATAAAAATATCTCCCATTTTTCTGTCCTTGAAGAAATAGAACTTTTTTGCTCTCTATTAATATTTTAGCATATCTTTAACAAATCTTATGGTGTGACTTTTATCCCTAAACTGTGATAAGATGTGGATGACCAAATAGTTTGATCTTAATAAAAGTGTTCAATTCTGTTATTGGGTCAAATGTTTTAGTGAAATCTTGATGAAGTGCAGAGCTCTCATTTTAAACAATGATAATAAAATATGATGCCACTATGAAAGCAGGAAGACATTTCTCAGGCCAGCATTTTTAAAAACAATCACCACCACCACTGCTTAAGATTTGATCTAATCTACCTAAGCAATGCAGTTAAGAAATGATTGAATTAGTGGTAGCATTCTGAAGCATATGCTATTTTAAATTAACAAGTACTTACAACACTGTACATCCAGAAAGACTCATTTTAGACCCAATGTTTTTTCAACAGCCTAAATCCCCACACTGTTTACATTCGATCACTGCTGCACTTAATGGAAAGGAAATGTTAATTTACTGTCTGAAACGCTTAATGAAATTTCGCTTTGTATACACTCTGTATAAATAAAATTTCGCTTTGTATACACTCTGTATAAATAAAATTTCGCTTTGTATACACTCTGTGTATACAAATACTCCATCACATAAGGTTGAAATGGAATGTCAAGCCTAGTACTTTTTTTTTGTGACTGATATTAGCAGTATTGAAATTGTTTCAAAATAAAATAAAACATCTGCACACCACTTTTCTATCAAAATTTATTTATGTATCTTATATTATGTATTTTGTATAAATTACCTTTTTGTTTGTGGTAAAGTGGTTTACAATACAGTTTTTCTTACAATACATGTTATTGTTTCAGATCTGTTGTTTTTCAGGTGACTTATGTATTTCTGACATTTCATTCTACTGTGACCCCTGAGAATTTATTTAAATCTATTTTAAAAGAGCCAGTGGAAAGCATATCAAATATTAGAGACTTGTTGTTGGGATCCTCAGGCTTGCCCACCAGAGGGCGCCGAGGATCCTCTTCTGTCTCTTGTTGTTGTCTTTTAGGACTGGAATTACTGTTGGGATCTGGAGATTACCCTCTGTCTCCAGCAGAGTGCGCCGTGG